ATTTTATTTAACAACAATCGGAAGCGCTGCTGTCTTTGTTTTATTGTCTGTGTGTAGTTCATGGACTCCTCTATCCATGGACATGATAAGCTCCGTTGAACTACACATATATATGAAAATATAGAAACACATTTGAGACCACTGTATCCCATGTGAAAAAAAATAAGGGGAATAATCAGATTAAAATCAATTAAAAAATGATTAAAAATCGATTATAATCATACACCTTTAATCGATTTTTAATCGATTAGGAATCCATTATAATCAAAAATAATCAAAAAAGTCAAATTTTCATTGATTATTTCTATTATTTTCGATTATAATCGATTAAAAGTTGCGCAAAAAAATATTGATTTTAATCGATTTTTCACCACAGGAAATCGTAAAACCTTCAATCGATTTCCTTAGATTTTCATTGATTATAATCAATTATTTTCTCGAACTTTTAATCGATTTTAATCGAAAATAATAGAAATAATCAATGAAAATTTGACTTTTTTGATTATTTTTGATTATAATCGATTTTTAATCATTTTTTAATCGATCTTAATCTGATTATTCCCCTTATTTTTTTCACATGGAATATACACTGACAAAAATTAAAAATCTAAGCAAAGTTTGAGGTTTTTTAAGGCAAGTTTCCATCCAACATTTTTGAATGTACGGTGACAGTTTACAGTGGTAATGCCCTATCACATACTACAATATTTGAATGGGCTCATCGTTTCAAAGGCCAATAAATAACTATCAATAGTAGTGTTAGATGTGGTCGATACATCATTAACATTATGTAAGAGAATGTGCTTTTTTCTTGAACTGACTTTGGTCATATATAATTGATCAAATAAAATGTTGTATACTGTACGTTTGAAATGTGAACGATGTCCACTATTTACTCATGGGCGCTTTGACTATCTTCGATCACTAGGGTTCTACAAATTTTAATGATTATTATATTTACATTTAGATTACTATTCATTTGTGGTAATCCATCTGTAAAACAACGATCCTATTCAGAAGCTACAATAAGCAATAGCGAGTCGATCGTTATAATCTGCCACTATACTTTCATAAATATTAAATGAGTAATAGTCTTATAAAACAAGAAATTTATCACTGAGTGATACTCGAAAATTTGTTTTTCTGTCAATGTATAAATAGTGGTCTCAAATGTATTTCTATATTCTTATATCTACGTTTCATTCAACAGAGCTTATCATGTCTATGGATAGAGGACTCTATGAACTGCGTACAGACAATAAAACAAAGACACCAGCGCTTCTTATCGTTTTTAAATAAAACCAGCCTGGATAATTTTTGAACACCCGTGGTGCAGATTAACTTTTTCCGGCCGGATATTTCCATTTGGAAATATTAAGCCAATATTTTACGAAGAATTGACTTATAGTGATGATACCAAAGTTTTTGACAATTTGATAATTGAGTTAACATATTTCAGCACACATTCATGCGTTTAGAAGAAGGAAAAAAAACATTCACTAAGAAAATGGTCGGTTCCACACAAAATGCCCCAAAGTAGCATGCGAATCATAAAAATATTTTTCCTATGTCTCTGAATATTTAATGTCGAAGGCATTCAATGATTAATTTTTCTTCATAGAGTTATTGAATATTGCAGCATTAAGTGGTATTATTCAATTATTCTGGACAATAAAAAATGGAAATATTTTCATTTGGAAACATTCGGCCGTAAAGGGACAAAACTTTTTCAACTCACTTACGTCTGCACTTGTCAAAACAATATATTCTGTAATGTTTTCATGAAACTACATGCATTTCTATCATAGAGAAAATTGATATCCTTCTTCCCGTGGTGACGATGAATGTAGGTGTTCGCTTTTATTTCACTCACCCATACCCGAATCCACCGAAATCTACAGTTACACCACGAATACAAAACTAGCCGAAGTTTTTTGACAACATGCAGAACGAACTGAAAATTTGTCGACATTTTGATTATGTATGAGTCTGAACAATTGAAAATTTCTCCCAATGATCCGTTTTTTCTAGCAGTACCACTACAGTCCACGAATAGATTCTGTACCCTTGACCCACAGCGACATTCACACCCGTTCACAAGTTCTTTTTCTCTTATATAGGCTTTATTAATAAATGAAAAAACACAAAATATTGCACTTGAATAACCGAAAACAAACAATGAATTTTGCAAAATTCTGATCCTTAGTGGTCGAATGTTTCCAAATGGAAACATCAAGTCATTAGATGGTGAAACATTTTTTGATTCTGAAAACTAAACTTTTCCGATCTTAATGTTCTAGGAGCAACAAAAATGCACGAAAAGATTTTTTTGCTACCTGCCTTCTTAAAGCCGGCTGGAAAAGGTTAAATAGGACAAAGTCAATTTCTTTTTTCGAGACGTTCGTATACACTTTCAGGACTTCGTTTTATAGGCAGTCGATAGAGAAGTTTTCCTGCTGCAAAACTACATATTTCATTTAAAGAACATATTCACAATTATTTTGTAACATTCGATAAGCTTTGTTGATCAAAATATCAATACTGCGACGAATAACAGCCGGTTGAATATTGTCCACGCTGACAAGACTTTGATCCATCAGAGTTTTTCGCTTGTAATTTTGTCCCAGTTCAGCTGTTCATATAATTCACACCGTATACAATAATCAAGGGAGTTGAGTTCGGAGAAATTCGGCGGTCAACGTGGTTGTGGTCAAAAATCTTAAAAGTGCTCATTGCACCGCATTTGAGTGTGATGATCTGTATACACCGTCGCGTCATATTGTTAGAATATAAATTCATTTTCCATTAACTTTTGATCATCTTTCAATGCTGTTGGCAATATCTCGTGGATATAACATTAATGATTTATCGTTCCTTTCTCCATAATGACACTGCTAGTAACACTATTATGACACGCACCGAGCTAGATCATGACCACGTATGTAAGTTTGGTTTTTCGATGAGTCCCATCATTTGCATCGACTTGTTGACGATTTGGAGGCCATATTCTGTCGTTTTGATGGTTGTAAATTCCATCAACGTCAAATCGGTCTTCGTCAGAAAACAAGGTTTTCGAGACAAAGATTTCCTGATGTTTTTTTGCATCCATATTTCAACTGAAAATCTTTTCTGTCTTTGTGCATCTATGGGCTTTGAAGCAACACGTTTTGCATATGGCTTCCATGTCAAATCAGATTTTGATCGTTCTTTGTACAGTTCCCTTTGACATGCCGAGCGATTTAGCCAACTTTCTTGTTGGCTTCTTCTTTTCGGCGTGGAGAAAATGTTTTTTCACATGTTGAGATCAATCGTTTGGTGTGCTTTGAGCCCGGTGGATTTTTCAAAAGTATTTCACGAGATTCCTGAAGCATCTTGATTCATCTATGGATCGTCGATTTTTCAACTTCGCTGCAAAGATGATCCGAAATTTGTCAATACTTCAATCCTTCTTGATGCAATCGCAGTACCGCGTCTCGTATGCCGTCACTTTTCATGATCCTTCGATAATACAAAGAAAATCAAGAATACTTCTCCAAAAGATATATCGTTTTGTAGAGTAAAAACCTCTCTATCGAATGAGTATAGAACGAACTTCTGAACATGAATATAAGTGACTTAAAAAAGTAAAATGATTTTGTTCCATTTAATCTGCGTCGCCCGTTAGATATACGTTAATGTTGAATATTAAGATTAGTGATATGAGTACTTAAATATTGACAATTGTAAAGAATAAGTAAAAGATTTTCATTAGACACGGCAGATCAATCTTTACGCCATCTTTTTAGAAATACTAGACAAAGAGGATCTACAAATCCACTCATCAAAGAATTCATATTGAGTTCTATCATTGGTTATATTGCTATCTCAATCATTTTTCTCTTGAATTCAGAAGACAAAAATGATACTAGTATTGCATGAATATACTTAGTTCAATTTTTTTTAATTACAAACTTCATATTTAGCTGCAACAACCACCACAACATCAGTTCTCGGTAATGTATCGTTCTCATTTTTTCAAACTGATTGTTTTTCTGAGATGATCTTTTAATAGTGATATTCGTCTAGAGCGATGGTTTCGGACTGCGGAAACAAGAGGATTGCGTGAGAACCGGCCGCAAAGATGTAGGATAATCATCGTATCTGGCAAGAAATTTTTGGAAATGAATGAAAATTGGACGCAGTATTCCGAGCCGAAGTTCCTTCAGATTTTTTATCGGTGACTTCTAGCCTTTCTCCGTCGAGAAGAACAAAAAGGTGGTAGGAAGGCACCGTAAAAAATTCGAATACTTTTTAGCATGAAATATTGCGTGCAAGTCCCATTTATTTCCGATGTTTTCCTATCGGAACCAGCCTGTATGCCTTCACCTAGGCGACGAGACGTGTGACAGTTCTATATCAACTTACTGAGCTGGTTTGCATCATACAGCTTCTTTTAAATGAACGGAATCTGATGACTAGTTTATTTATATGAGCTGGTGATAACATGATGCTACTGAAAGTTGAGCTAAGTTACTTATCAGGATATCACCCTCTGATGCCAGTTTGAATGGTATCCATCATTCTCACAAAGTTCAAGTTCCAATAGATGATTAACAATCATTATCAGCTGCTTAGTTCATCCATTTAATTTTGTTCTTTGTACACCAGCCTTGTGCACAAGTTTTAACATGTTTCGTAACACCTTGAGGCATAAACAATTTGCTACAACCATGACATTGGTATTTACCATTGGTGTTATTTTTTAATACTTCTGTTACTTTTTTCTGTACTATTCCACGGGCTGTTGCTAAATTTCTTCCTCTTCTTTGTTCAGCTGCTCGTTGTTTATACTCAAAAATAATATCTTTTATATTTGGGTGAATAGATCTGATCTGAGTGTTCCGATTAATTACATCACGCCATTGATTTCTATTGAGATTTTGTCTTCTCCAGTTGGTAACATTCAGAGTTTGTATATCACTTTGAATATTATCTTCACATCTTTTCCTTATTACGATGCTTCAAGGTCTTTTCTCTTCAGGAAAATATGAAAATGTAATCTTTTTCACCACTGATGACTCATCATAACTGTTCATCATCCTGTTTGCATGTTCGAACCACCTCAATCTATTTCTAGGCAGAATATTCTCAACTGATGGTTGACCAGTAATTTCTAATAGTTTTTCATTTGACATTCTATCACCGAGATTTATACCGATAATTATACGTAAACATTTCATATAAAAAGTAGCAATTCTACGTTCATGTTGACCTGTAATTGACCACTTTTCACTTCCATAAAGTAAAACTGGAAGAACAAAAGCACGAAAAACATGTAGTCTTGATTTGATTGAGATAGTTTTTCGGCTCCACATCACATGTCTTAACATATTAAATGCAATGGCAGCTTTGGTTAATCTTGCATTAATTTCGCTATCTGACTTTTGATCTCTAGTAATTTTACAAACTAAATACGTGAAAGACTCAACAGTTTTTATCTTTTGATTGCGCATTGTAATGTCAATATCAGGAAAGATCACCTCGTTCTGTTTTAAAATCTTTCGATTTTGATCTTCCTCAAACTGTTGCAAAGTCATAATACATGTTTTTTTAACACTCATTGTCAATCCAACTTCTTGAGTCACTTTTTCAAATGTTCGAATAAATGTTGCTAGATCAGGTGCTGTTTCACACATAGCTACAAGATCAACAGCATAAAGAAGTGCCAAGATACTAACATTTTCATAGTTTTTCCGTTTGGTATGAAAAAAATTATTATTGCCACAAGAAAATTTGACACCAGCAATGCCAGCCTCTTCTATAACTTTTCTGATGATAAAATCAAATAAAATGTTAAACAGGATTGATGATGGTATTCCACCTTGTTGAACTGCAGTTTCAATTAAGAAACTATCCGATAATTCATCTTCAATTGTCACTTTTGTCTTTGAGTTCTTATAGAGCATTTTCAATAGATTAACAAGTTTCTCTGAAATGCCATACTTGAGACAAACTTTCCACAGAGAATCACGATTGACGGAGTCATAAGTCTTTGTAATATCAATGAAACACATTCCCTAGACTGAAATGATAGGGTCTAGAAACCTAAATTCACCTGCATCTGTCTGTCTGTAACATGGTACAAATGACCATGTAGTGATCATGGTCTGAATGACCATCTAATGAGTATGGTTCAAATGAACATGTAATAAGCATGACTAAAACGACCATGCAATAACTATTATTCAGATAACTGTGAAGAATGGTTAAAAACAGCATCTAGTTAGTAGAATTCGAACTAACCGAGCAATATGACTTTTAAAAAAATTGTCAAATTATTCAATATTATTGGATTGATTATATAATGTTGTATAAATGAGTATGTGATTTATTAAGTTTAGAATTGATGAGTCAATTTGAACATAATTATGCTTAACAAAACTTAAATTTGGTGAATAATGTGATTTTTGTTTTTGTAATTACAAATAGCGTTAATGTAATTATTAAAATTTCGTATTCTTGTTTAATTATATTAGCGCTATTTGTAATTATAAAACAAAAAATGAAATGTTTACGATAGATAAACTGAATCCATATATGCATCATCTTTATATATAAGGTGCATTGCCGAAATTAATTTTTATGACCATCTATGATATATTTATCATATTATCAATTTCGTCTACTACTTTATTTAATGCACCTTCATACGTATATGTGACTATATCCATTTGTTGATTCTGTCAGTCTAAGGCTAAGTGAATCACTACGCGATGAACGTTACGTGTGAATAATGATTTGTTGAATTTCCTACGTTTTTCCATCGTGCTTTTCAATATTTGATCAACAGTTGATCTCCGTGCACGAAAATCAGACTGCGCTTCTAACAGTTGATGATCAATCATATTTTGAATACGATTCCATCTAATATGAGAAAATATTCTACTTGTTACATTCAACAGTGAAACTCCTCTATAATTGTCACACATTTGTTTTTCTCCTTTCTTGTATAATCTAATAAGGATAGCTAAGCTTCAATCTTGTACCATCAGTTGACTCTTCCATATGTCAACAAATATTTCATGGAGCCAGCGAATAACTGGTTCTCCTTTAGCTTTCAGAAGGTCAGCTATTATTTCGTCATTTCCTAGTGCTTTTCTTGACTTCATTTGAGATAATGCTCCTCGTATTTCTTCTGTTGATGGCTCAGCGTTTTGTCTCTTTCCTTCTTCTTTAGATAATGTATCAATTGGAATTTCATCAATAAGTTTTTGATCGACTGTTGATGGAACATTAAGTAGTTCATTAAAGTATTCACGCCATCGTTGCAGTTGATCAGATGAGTTCAGAAGTAGTTTGCCGTTCTTATCTTCAATCGGCATGTTTTCAGCTCGTTTACTTTCACCATGTAAATGTCTTGTGATAGAGAAATCAGCTGCTGGATCATTCAATTTAATAAAGTTTTCTATTTCCTCGCAAATTTCATACCAGTATTCAATTTGACGTGCATCGATTTTCTTCTTAGCTAATTTTCTAAGACGTCTGTATTTATGTCTTGTTTCTGTTTCTAAATTGGCACCACGGTGATTCTGCCAATTTAGGAACGCTAATGATTTCTGATCTACGATTTGTAATAACGGGTGTCACAAAATGAATGGCGCTCTCAGTATTTTTCATATAACTCATTCATTTTTCAGTGTTTAAGAAAAAATGTTTTTACCAAAAGATTCCTCGTCAAATTCTCTACAAAACGTATATATTTTTATTATCTTAAATAATCTCCATTATTTTGTGACATGCGATACAATCGATTGGTCAAAGAAGCACAAATTTCAAGCAAGAAGTTTTTCGTAGGATTAGCATGTCTTAAACCTGCTGTGCTATGAAGGAATGTAGCTCATTAGGTTTTGTAGACGAAAGNTTTATTGAGCTTTGTTGTTATTATATAAAGGGTGTATCCTAAGTTCTGATCCCATCCGAATTTTGACTATAACATTTTTTCTTTTCAACACTACATCTGATTGTTTTTCCAAAAGATGCGTCGTAAAATTCTCTACAAGACTTGATAAAAAGTATTTCTGTAAAAAGTGAAGAAGAAAAATTTAACTAAAGATATCCAGGGCGTAGAAGAGGACTAACTTGCTAAGCTGAAAAATCAATTTGTCCAACTACAATCATTGAGCTGAATGGCATAAGAAGAAGAGATTATACGCATTTTATAGCGCTTGAAAAGCTCTATTTATTAAATAGTATTAAGTAAAGAAATGCAAAAAAATCTATTCAATTGCACCGATTTTCTTCTCTTTGAAACTTTCAAAAATTCAGCTGTTTCAGTTCGGGTTTCTTATGTTTTGAGGAAAGTGAATCCTGTATCAGATTCAGCGGCGAAAACTTATTTAAAACTAATCTGATAGTTTTCTTCTTAAAGATAGCCGGCGAAAAGCAACAGATTTTCATTATTTTAAATATACTTTGGAATGTTAGATTTTTCAATGGTCATTTTGATTTGAATGAACTTTGAAATGGACAATGAGAAAGAGCGCACTTCAAAGTATTCAAAAACATTTCCACTGTTGTTTCGTTCTCTTTCAAGTTGCTTAAAATACTACAAAGATTGTAAATGAAAATATCTTAGAAAGTTGACTCTTTTCTACGCATTGGATAGTCTTCGTTAAATTTTTCTTCTTCACTTTTTACAGAAATACTTTTTATCAAGTCTTGTAGAGAATTTTACGGCGCATCTCTTGAAAAACCAATCAGGTCTAAGGGTTGAAAAGAAAAAAGTTATAGTCAAAATTCGGATGGGATCAAAACTTAGTATACACCCTTGATGGATAGTGGAAAAAGCAGATTTTAACCAACGAAAAGATCAAAATGACAAAAACTTCCTGAAAGATTCTTGCAGATCTGAATTCTTTATTCCCCCTTGGTGGGAGCGCCATTTTTCAAGAAAAATATGTGTTCGAATGTTGACCTGAATCTCTACACATATATAGATATCACTAACGAGAGAACCACCCGAGGTGTTACGCTCCGTTTTAACTCATTCATATCTCATTTAATAGAGTATAGTGAGTTAGTAAAAAGCCTAAAGCGATTTCTGCCCGCGCTTCTTCCTTCCGAAGTTACGGCTATTTTACTGAATTCTCAACCCATTCCTAGATATTTATCAAAAACTCAAATTATGGAATTTCGACCTGAAATTTTGTCCGTAGGTACGTCTAGTGACTCTTTGAACATCTTGGAACTTTCAGTCAAAAAAGAATGTTCCTTTCTCCAGATATTGAGTTTTCGAAAATAGTCCCAGATCGAGCACCATCGTTGTGGGTGTGGGTGTGGGTGTAGGTTATGGAAAGAGTCACATCCACACCCATACACACACCCAGATGATATGCTTTTGTTAGTATGCCACAATAGCATCAACGAAAAACGCTGAAACTTTTACAATGAAGTAGTTTCATTGTAAACATTATTTGTGCAAAGTTGTAAGTCAAATCTAAAAATTCACCTTTGAACGTGACCTGAGGGAGAGTACGGGGTTTCATTGAAAAATTCAGTACAAAATCTATTTTTCGAAAACTTTACAAGTAAAAGAGCCTAAATAAGTACAGATAATCAGCATCAAGTGAGAAGCATAATTATACAAAATATCAAGTTCTTAGCTATATTGATTGTACGGATTGCTCCTGGTCCCCATTTTTGTCCACTGTGCGGGTGTGAGTGTTCTAGACATGTGCGGGACCAACTTTTTTTGGTCCCGGTCCCGGTGAAATTAAATTTTTGGTCCCGGTCCCGGTGAAAAATTTTCTTTGATCCCGGTCCCGGTCCCGGTGGAAATTTTCCTTTTGCTCCTGATTCCGGTGAAATTCTGTTTTTTAGTCCTGGACTCAGTTAACACATTCGCTACGATGTGGCCTAACAGTGAGCCAAGCTACATTTTAACGAGAAACTGTATAGAAAAGTACTTTATTTTTCTTTGTTCTTAGACAGGAGGTTGAACATAATGTTTTTTCTGTTCTGCCTTCAGAACTCTTTTTGAGTCCGTTATTCCATAGCATGATGGATCTTGTTAAAAAAATCAAGACAAAAAAAATTGTTACTCACAACAGAACGTTTTTACTTTCTTTGCTACCGCATAGCTCGCTTCTCTTGACTGGTGTGCCCTTCCTTTCGCAAAGCAGCCAGTACAGCGTCTGCCGACATTGCCCGTAAATCCTTCCTTTTCTTCGAGCTTGCGATTAGTGAATTCGCGCTTGAATTGGGTTGCTGATTCAACTTATCGAATGGCATGTCATGCTGAAATGACCTCACAGGACTTTCCCCAAACTACAGAATGGTTACTTTGCTTCATGTGATGTTACAAACGGAAAAGAGAAAACGACAGATCAGCATAGGATGAAAAGACCAAGCAGTGCATTTATCGCAAGATGAATGCAGACGAAAATGAATCTCTAGAGCTACTCTTTAATAAAACCGAATCGTGTCGAATGTATTAAATTTTGTTTTTGTTCTACACCCAGTCTAAGTAACCTTACTTTTTCTGTTATTTGCCCATAGTCAGAGAAGTTGTTGCAGAATCTGCCGGTTTTAGATCTGGAGCAGTTCTCACTTGTATTTCCGCCGATGCTTCTTATCAACGGCAGACATGACAGGGACTAAATTGTTTTTCGATCCTGGTCCCGGTTCCGGTCCCGGTAAAATTCATTTTTTAGTCCCGGTCCCGGTCCCGCACATGTCTAGGCTGTTCACTTGATCTACGCCCAAGGCTACTCCCATATCCACATCCATACCCCACACCCACACCCACACCACGCATACCCCACACGCACACAATCTATACACACACCCACACAACTCACACCCACACAACCCACACCCACACCCTGCTGGCATAGTCGTCTTTTCGATGATGGTTCTAGCCATAACACTTGATCAAGTTCAACTGACCAAACAACGTCAGTTTTGTGGTGTATGTGACGATAAATATTTACCACTGAACAATGAAAAAAAATGTTTGAACAAAGTTAAGTTATCACGCCTTGCAGCCATATAAGTGACGAACTTCAGCAATATCCATAGGGCTAAGCACCTGGGCCTTACCAATCGTCACACCACTTTGACGAGGGACCATTGTCGGTTTGCCGTTCTTGCTGAAAGCGTCCATTCCATAGTGCATGATACTTTGATAATCGTAGGATGAACCTTGATTAATTACTGACGAACCCCATGCATACTTGTTGAAGTTATGTACCTTTGAACATGAAAAACATATCATAATAGACAATCATAGTCTGTTTCCTATTTTACGATATTACAACGAGAAAACTTCAATAAAGACCGATTATAAAGAGATTATTTCGTTGGCATGATTAGTCAAAAAATACTGTAAAATACTAAATGTTTTTTTTCTCTCGGCGCCTATTGAATCTCTCTGAAACTGATAAAAAGGCACATTTGTGATGGAGTATTTGTAACCTGATATCTCTATTTTCGGCTCACATGCAAACAGTTGTATGGTTAATACAAAATATCGATAAAATTATTTCAAACCATTGTATCTATTGAGTAGGCTAGACATCATACAAAACTGACTCACCATGCTAGAGTCGACATTCTCGAGATTGATTTGCAGATAAGTGTCACGATCCGGTCGAGATTGCTCGTGATAGAAGCCTATTATTTGTTATTTTGTCAAAAATGTGTATCCATAAATACAAAAACAGAAACCTACCGACAACGTGCAAGAGTTCATGCTGAATAATATGCGAATAGAAACAACCGTTCTGCTTCAGCGTCATTGTTGACTGTGTAGTTGAGCTTATGAAGTGGCCGACCTATAATACAAATATATAAGTTAAGCAATTTAAGTCATATGAAAAATTGAAGAATTTGTAGACTTTTCTGATAGATAACCCATCAACAAGTATTGCGCAAACCCTACAGAGAATGGAGCAAGACAGAATGACAGACTCCTTTTTTTAAATTTTTTCTTTAGACTATCCTCCTTATAATGCATCATAATGGAAAAAAAGAAAAAAAATGAATTCACAGTTCGATATTTCTGTCATGAGAAAGATTAACGAGATAATGTGCGAAGCTAATTACAAGCTACTACATTCATACTGCGAGTACAACGAATGAATCCTGCCCTATCATAACACGTGATAATCGATCGACTCACATCACACGACCATATCGATGTCTTTGGACGTTCTAAAATCTTTCAACTATATACAAGAAGAGAGAAAATATATATCGAAACGTTTGAGATTGTCTCTTTCTCACAGACGCACGATTATATAATAGGACTCAACATATTATTTTTCTTGAATATTTGTCAATACTGTGCACTGTGCAGAATAAAATCAGTTACGTCTATTTCGCTCTTATAAACAAAATTTTCTGAATCGATGCCGAGGCAGACATGTTGGAGAGTTCCAACATGTACTCACATGGGCGTTACATCCATTGCCGTATTGAATCTTGAAGTAATTTTTGTCAGTCGCTTGACGAGGGCGAAAGTAAATGCAAGCTGTGCGCTGTGTGGAGCCATTCTTTGGCGTGCCCACGGCGTACATGAGCGTGTTCATGGCATCAGTGATCGTCTTCTTGTTCGCCGTGTCTGCATGCGAGAAAAAATGACAATGTGTTGACGAATTGATAGCTTAGCATAGTTAAATCAGATATCTCACCGGTGATGGCCGAAATATCGTAGGGAATAACGCCATTAGGCCATTTGTAATTACCGTAGATGGCCACACCACGTTCAGGATTCGTCGGATCGAAACCATCTGGAAAGAGCATGTCTCCTTCAAACCCACCACCGAGCAACAGTGGGTTGACGCCTTCGTGCATGGGTACACTTGTATCGGCCTCGTATTCCGGAGGAGCGATAAGCTCATCAACCTGCGTGTGCATGTTTTTCAATGATGATGACAGTAAAAGAAAAACACAAGAAACGTACCGGTTTTCCATTGGCGACGAAAGCCAAGCACAAGACGACAAGGACAAAAACGATGGCAGTCATTGGTTCTTGATTTATTTTGCCTACTTGACAATGTGACAATTTCTCATTTTTTTTTGATATTTTCTCACGATTTATAGTAGTCTGAAGAGTATTACATTACATTGTCTTTGCCATATAGGACTCCACTCTCTGTTAATACCTGGCACACGATCAAATCTCCAAACGGTTTCAATTTCCATCGTTATTCCGCGAAAACAACCGACATACCTTAATATATAATTTCCAAGGGCAGCCTCTAATTCACAGATTAGCATGTGATATTTACGGGGCAGCTAAATTTCGAATCGGAATGAGAAATATACGATTGGTAGATGAAAAGGCTAAAGACCGTAAGATATCTTATATTCACATTTAGGATGAGCCGTCGTCGATGTTGCTATCGGATTGCGGGTGTGTGTATGGATGTGACTGACACTTTCCATAATCCATATCCACACCCACACCCATATCCACACCCACACCCATACCCACACCTACACCCATATCCACACCCATACCCACACCCACACCCACACGATCAAATCTCCAAACGGTTTCAATTTCCATTGTTATTCCGCGAAAACAACCGACATACCTTANCCACCGCGCCCCCCCCCCCCCCACCCCCCCCCGCCCCCGCCCCCCCACCCCCCCCCACACCCACACCCACACCCATACCCACACCCACACCCACACCCACACCCACACCCACACCCACACCCCACACCCACACCCACACCCTCTTTGCCATATAGGACTCCACTCTCTGTTAATACCTGTCACACGATCAAATCTCCAAACGGTTTCAATTTCCATTGTTATTCCGCGAAAACAACCGACATACCTTAATATATAATTTCCAAGGGCAGCCTCTAATTCATAGATTAGCATGTGATATTTACCGGGCAGCTAAATTTCGAATCGGATTGAGAAATATACGATTGGTAGATGAAAAGGCTAAAGACCGTAAGATATCTTATATTCACATTTAGGATGAGCCGTCGTTGGTGTTGCTATCGGATTGCGGGTGTGTGTATGGGTGTGACTGATTCTTGTCATAATCCACATCCACATCCACATCCACATCCACACCCACACCCACACCCACACCCACACCCACACCCACACCCATACCCACACCCACATCCATAGCCACACCCGCACCCACACTCACACCCACACCCACCCACACCCATCTACACCCACAGACCCACACCCGATGTGGACTGACTGGTTGAGAGAAAGTTCGGAATTTAATTGGAGCGGATTTCGAATCGCTTCTCCAGTTATGTTTCTTTAGACACAAGGCAATATCAATTGATGATCCTTAGATATAGAGTGAAACAGAAAAATCGTCCTGCTAGAAGTGCTCGTATTAGACTAACTACATGTGTTTCGTTGGTGTGAGAAAGGTGACTAATGCATATTCCTTTTCTTTTCGCTTTGTCTATTAAGTACAGGTAACGTTCGTTCTGTGCACGATAAGAAAAAAATATGACTTGGCATGGCTGTTTGGCTGTTTGCTTATGTCTTCGTTAA